AGTCCACAAAGGACGAAACAGTTCTGTCCGCAGATTGGGTATAGGTAGATAGAGAGATATAGATGAAGATCGAGAGAGAGAGAGAGAGAGAGAGAGAGAGAGAGAGAGAGAGAGAGAGAGAGAGAGAGAGAGAGACATAGGCAGCTGTATTGGCGATTATAATCCGATGTATTCTGTGTGGCGTAGACCAGGTGTGCATTGAGAATTATTTCACAAGGCCTCGCAATAATTATATGGAATTGTGCAGTAATGTGGTGCAAGTCTTCATACGTTTCACTCAGGTCATGTCTGATATTGGCATAAGAGAAAATCAGTGGGTGTCCATCCACTTCACTTGCAGACTTGCGTGTTTCTCTTGCGACGGATGCACATGGTACTTAGCTTCTGTGTCAATTGGCTCATTCTGCAGGCGAGTGGTCCCTGCCTGAGTTCAATGCCGGAAAAGGTAAGTAGCTCTAGAGTGCAGCATAGAGAACATTATGCCAAATACGCGGTCATTAGGAGAGACTATACCAGCAACTTCCACTCATATACTTGAATATCTAATTGGATCTGTATAGAAGACACTGCTCAGTGGTATTGGAGTTGTGGTTGATCAACAGCGTATCTTTAAGGTCCATTGGTCTTGTTTGAGTGACACTAGCCATGCAACCGGACAATGTTGGTGAACGGCTTCATTACCAAAGAACTTGATTGGTTTGCCATTTAGCTTCCTGTGTGGCGTGATATTGTTTCCGTGGACTGGTTTAGATTCTTGTCCATGTTTCCAGGAGTCTAGCCAATTAATAGCAGCCCAAGCTATTTGAATAGCCGGATTATGTCTTCTTATCGGGCCTGCACTCCATCCGCTTGAATCCGTAAGCAGTGCAAACGCGTTGTCCCTTGCACACTGTGACAGGCATGTGACTTCTGCATGCAATTCTGGAAGAGTGTACAGTGGCAGGACGAATATTCCTGTAAAGTAGCAACATGATCTGAGTATAATCGTAGGACATCAAGTCTTGACACTACTTGTGACATGATCAATTCTGCTAATGCTCTAGTGCAGACTAGCAATAAGAGGCATTTGTCAAATACTAGTAACTATGAGGTACTGAGACGATTCTCTTTGGCAAGCCACCCACTCGGCTATAAATGCTCAAAGTTAATAATCTGTCATCTGCCTGCTCCAACTTGGCTGTCCTCCTGACAAGTGAAAACCGCTGGCGTCGTCCGGGCCATAAACACCATTATTGGCATTAATCCAACGCCTCACTTGCTCCTCATCTCTGCAGGTCGTAACAATAGGTCTGGCACATCGAAAAACTGAAATATTTGGAGCTCTTAGTTCAAGCTACATTTTCAGAGTCAGGAAGTTGGAAATGGCAAGAAACCCAGCTTCCCGTCACCTTCTAAGTTGACATCACGAGCAATGACCATTATCAGCCAGCAATGTTTTACTAGAGCAAAGGCGCTGGCGCATGGCGGGAACAGAAAGCTTTCCATCCAGCAACGTTTCTTTTTCAGCAATAACAAATAAAAAGGAAAGGAACAAAAAAGGAGCCATACCCGATACCCGGGTACCCAGGTGTGTAGTCCCTGGAAAGGCTCTCCCACAGATTCCAGTACAAAGGCCACGGCCAAGTGTCCCACTGAGATTCGGTCGCTTGCCCGGACCGCTGGGACGCGGACACCTCCGAAGAGCAGCCTGTGACGTTTATTTTTTTATGAAAGAAAATCCGCAAAAATAGATAAGCTTGTCCCTTTAGCCTTTCGCGCCTGAAAGCCTAGTAGTCTGACTGCCGATTTTCAAAAGCCTGTTTTACGTTTCCTTTTTATGCTGACAAGCTGAAAGTTTGTATGCTGGCAGGCAGCCCCTTTGGGATTGTACCTGGCGTAGTTGGCCATCGCGGAGCTGTGCACAACCTCGCGAAATCGTCGACTTTTGATTTCGAGGTTCGAACAATACGCACCCCATGCGCTGCTCAAAGCCGCACAAATTTGAATACCTGAGCAGGTGATGTGAATGACGACGCCGGCCCCCGGGAAAATTTGAATTCAATTCTCAACAAAAGGCACTCGAAGTAGATGACAATTGTCCTTGCCTTTCGACCACACGACAGTTTTTAGTTATCGTCAGGTGTATTGAGGTAGAATGGAGAGTGAGGAGAGCAGCACCGAGGACGAGGACTGTGCGGACCCCTCACCCAGCAGTAGCATTCTGGTTTTATGCGAGCCGACACGACGAGGAAATGAGGAGAACGCAGGTGAGTTTATTTTGTAATTTAAATTTGTTAGTTTTGAAGCTCTTGAACAAACAGCCCGGACTGCCTTTGCATGTATCCCACTGTTCCTGCAGCTGGTATGTCTTGGGAGCGATGCTTGTGCCACTGCTGCCCTGGCGCTACCAATCAGCGGAATGTTACAGATGTGTCTTGGCCGAGAATCGTGAAAGCAGCATTGTTACGGCAGGATGCAACTTGTGCCTTCCTGGTTCAACAGAATTGCGCAGATGAGAATGCTGAACCTCGTGGGTTTGTACATGTAGAGTGTTACAGGAAGTACACGCACAAGAAAAGTCTCGAGAGAATCTCAAAAGCCCAAGCAAATGCCAACAGTTCTTGCTCTGATTCCTCAGCCTCAGATGAGGATGATCAGCCACCACCTCCGAAAAGGCCATGTACACGTAGCACAGCGCCACAGCCAACACGGAAAGAGCTGTGTTTGTTCTGCCAACAACAGAGCAAGCGGAAGCGAGGGAAGCCAGCTGAAAAGCTGTCAGTGTGCGAGAGCTTTGACGCAGCGCAGAGGATTCTGGACGCTGCATTGGAGAAGGAAGATGCCCGCATACTCCTGGAGGTCCAGAGTAATCCGGATTGTATCGCTACCGATACTGTTTACCATCGCTCGTGCTATGCCAAGTTCACCCTCTGTACTACACAGTCGAGCCGGGAGCGATCTGAGACTGCATCGATATACCAGCAGGCCTTCGATGTTGTCGCTGATGTCATCGACAACGAGATCTTGCAGCAAGATGGGAGAGGAGGCATACGAGCTGTCACCATTCAGTTTCTGCGCAGCAAATTCGTTGCTAGGCTTGAAGCACTCGGCAGGCCAAGCCCTAACTACAAAACGGAGCTGGTCAAAGCGAGGATACTGAATCAGTACCAAGGCCGGGTGAAGTTCGTTCGCTCCTCTGTCACGGAGCCGGAGAAGGTGATTGCCGCTCACCTCAGTGAGGAGAACTATATTGGCTTGATGACATCTGTGATTGGCGATCTCGGAGGGCGAACAGAAGAAGACGATGAGGTCTTCATGGCGTCAGCTGCGCCGGCAACATCTGAAATGGATTTGTTTCATGCCGCCATTATGGTGCACCATGCCGTCAGAGAGGTTGAGCCGGTCCTGACCTCCACACCCCATGCCACTGAAATAACCAAAGAGTCAGTTGCACGCTGCGTCCCAGTCGTCCTTCACAACTTTCTTGCGTGGGTCATAGGCGGTCCAGACGTAGAGGCTTGTGTTGGCGGGCGTGCAGAAGTTAACGAGAGAGTGGGCAGGCTGGTGGATTCTATATCCCAGGATATTGTGTACGCCGCCAGCAATGGAAGAGTGGTGCCACCAAAACACATTGCACTGGCCATGACGACACGCCATCTGACCCGGTCGCAGCAGTTGGTGACAATGCTGAACCGATTCGGTCACTCTGTGTCAGCAACAAGGGTATCTGAGGTGGAAACCGCTCTTGCCATGGAGGTTAGGCACTCAGAGACACGCCTTCCAAGCACCGTGACCCCGAACAACGCCATTTTTTTCTGCTCGGACAACAACGATCGGAATGAAGAAACGCTAGATGGGAAGGGGACTATGCACGCAACTGCCACGATCGTTCTGCAGAACAACCATCCAAGTCCAGAATTACCCGCACTAGGCAGAACACCAGACGTGAGTGCTGCAAACGGTCCTCTACTCCGCAGTAGCCGGCGGCCTAGGGCTCTGATCCCTTCAGAGCGGTTGACCCTACCACTTTTCGTGCCGCCTAGATCCATAGCATCACCTCATCTCTCAGCTAGTGGTCTAACGGAAACCCAGTCGACTGATGCACTAGCACCAGGAGAGGACCTGGACATCGTTTGGTTGCTGTTGCGAAGCACGCAGGCAACATCACGGTTTGGCTGTAGTGCTGCTGAGCCTCAGGAAGTACCACCCTGGTCTGGCTTCAACGCATCCGTTGCATGCACGGCAGTGCAACCAGTTACCCGTATCGCTTACCTGCCGCTAATCCCCGAATCACCTACAGATGGTGCTGTTGTTGGAGAGGTCATCCAGAGATGTGTGCTTTTGGCACGCAGTCATGGTCAGTCACACTGCATCTTGACGTGTGACCAAGCCATGTATGCGAAGGCAGTGCAAGTGATGTCGCAGAAGAGAGACGCTTACCCGGAAGTTGTGCTGCGCATGGGCAGTTTTCACACCATACTCTCATTTCTTGGAGTCATCGGAAAGCGGTTCGCGGACGGTGGCCTGAGTGACCTCCTCGTTGATGCTGGTGTTGTCGGCCCGAGTGCTTGCAGAGCGGCATTATCTGGCAAGCATTACAACCGTGCCATTCGCATGCACAAGCTGGCATTCGAAGCGCTGTGGCAATGTCGCTGGGAAGTGTTTGAACGAACCTGGAACACGCAGAGAATGGTGGCGACCTTCAGCACATCGAAGATGCAATCTGTGCCCTCCGTGACAGCGGAATTTATGATGCTGCAAGCATGGCAACCAAGTCATCGGCATTCGCAGTACTGAAGGCAGACTATTGCAGATCTAGCCAGCAGGAGGCAAGCAAGCCGTCCATGGCTTCCTATTGGCTGTCTTACCTGGAGATGATCAGCTTGTTGCTGCAATTTATTCGAGCGACTCGCACTGGAGACTGGAATCTGCATCTGGCATGTGTTCGGAAGCTTTTGCCGTGGTTTTATGCGTACGACCACCAACACTATGCCCGCTACCTCACAATGTACTGGTGCGACATGGTACGACTGCCCGATACGAACCCGTCCGCTTCGGAAGCATTAAAGGCTGGAGACTTCACAGCAACGCGTTCCTCCAAGTCCTTCGCCAAGGTCCCTGTCGATCAAACCATCGAGCAGACATTCAACAGGGACAGCAAAACACCTGGTGGAATTGTCGGCTTCTCACGAAACAAAGGCGCCGTGGAACGTTGGGTGCTAACTGCGCATGAATGTGCCGCTGTTACATCAGCTTGTTACAGCTTGGCAGGTCTCGACCGAGACAACTCATCGACTACCCACAAGGACAGCACCAAGCACCGTATGACGAGAGACCAGCATGATGTTGAGGCCATCGGCAAGGTGCTGAGTGAGTACGGAAACCCCTATCAGCCAGGTGACCTTGTCAACCTTGCCACGAGAGATGTACCCTCAGCTAGTGTGCAGAAGGATTTGCATGCGGCGCAGACGGTCGGAGAGAATGCTGTGCAGGAGTTCATTGCGAACAGGATGGTCACCGATGGAAGCAGCATCTCTGACGTCTTGAAAAAGAACAAACTGGAGACGTTCAAGGCCCCCGCCAAGAGGAAGAAGTCCTCACGTGCTTGTCGAGCTGATACTGCTTTGCAGCAGGTTAAGCTGTTCCAGCAACTTGTTGTCATGGCGCAGGTGAGAACCATTGACATGAGGTTGCTGCTCACGCACGAGCTGGGTACACTTCCGCTATCACTAGCCCAGGGTGACGGCACTCCAGTTACCACGCAGAAGTCGAAGCTCATGGCATTGCTTGAGCAAGTCGAGGACGTAGCTGAGGCTGCAAACTCGATTCCTGATGGGTGTGCGCTCGTAATTGATGCAATGGCCATGCTACGAGCTCAGACGTCACTTCCGCCGACATTCGGCCAGGTAAGCGAACAGGTATTGAAGTACCTGGTGAAGCTTCTCGTGTCCCATAGGTCTAGCCGATTAGACTTTGTAGCCGACGAGTACCACACCAACTCCATCAAGTCGTTTGAGAGGCAGAGTCGTTCGCATGCATCCGCTGGACACATCCGTCGCCACGTACAGCGCCCAGATCAAGCCATCCCCACGGATTGGAGCAGATTTATGACCTGCGGTGAGAACAAGACTGATCTTGTGCAGTTCTTCGCCGACCAGTGGGCAGAACGCCAAGCTGCTCTTCTACTACATCCTGGCCAGAGCATCTACGTGACTGTTGGCGTGAAGTCCTGGCGTCTGGAGGCCAAGGATGATGGCCAGTTCAGCGCATCTGTCGAACCGTTGCTCGAGTGCACGCACGAAGAAGCGGACACGCGCATGTTCTTGCATGCCGAGCATTCCCTCTGCCGTGGTGCATCTTCCGTCTGCATATTCTCGCAAGACACTGATGTCTTTGTCCTGGCTCTAGCGCATTCAGCATCTCTACATGGAACTGTCTATATCCTCACTGGCCAGAAATCCAAGAGGAGAGTGCTGAATGTCACTGCAATTGCCGACAAGCTTGGCCCGACAGTCTGCGGCGCTCTGATAGGGCTCCATGCTTTCACCGGATGTGATGCAATCAGCGCCTTTTCTGGGAAAGGCAAAGCCCGTGGCCTGAAGCTTGTTAAGGGAAATGGCAACCTCGCGGGTGCAATGGCAGCTCTTGGGCAGAGTTTTGCAATGCAGGAGTCCATTTTCAATGGATGCAAGCAGTTTGTATGTGCACTGTACGGTGCCACAGGCTCCTCTGCCGATGTCAATGGCTTGCGGTACAAGCTGTTCTGCGATGCCAGCAAGGCACGAGACCCAAGGCAACTTCCACCTTGCGAGGACGCCCTTCTCCAGCACGCACGTCGTGCCAATTACCAGGCAGCTATCTGGAAGTCTGCGTTGCAACGCCAACCCGACCAACCCAGTCCTGATGGCCAGGGATGGACTATCGAGGCAGGTCAGTGCATGCAAAGGAATGTGAGATGGCCGGGCCCGATGTCCAGTCATTTCAAAATTGGCCGGACATGGTCCGTCCTCCCCGACCACCACCACCCCACCCAATGCCCCCCCCCCGTCATCTTTCTGTTCTACTGATGTATAACGATAATGCACCGTACATCTCCCAAATGTGCATTCACCATCAAGATTTTGAGCCCACCTTCAAACTTTAATAATATTATGTTCCCTACTTAGTGCGAGTATTCGAACAGTTCCACCTAGAACTCATCCAGTATCCCCGGTTTCCTTTTTTCAGACTTTGGACAATGCCCAATGTCTGGCGTTTTTTTTCCGTGTGGTGCAGGTGTATTGAAGATTACTTGGCTATTAACCAACGTGGCACCCAAGGAGGTTCTAGCCATGGTGAAGTGCAACTGCGTGGTCGGAGACTGCTCCAGCCAGAGGTGTGCATGCCACAAGTCCATGTTGCCTTGCACAGATGTATGTGGCTGTCGAACTTGCTCCACCAAACCTGGTTCCAGCCACCTTACAAGCAGCACCACCACTTCGGAGTCTGTGGAGGATTCCTCCGATTCCAGTGACTGTGGATCTGACAGTGATCCTGAGCCCGCTGATCAGAATGATGCAGCCACATGACGAGCCTGTCATCATTACTACTACAGTCTACGCAGGTGCGTGTACAATTTTCTGGATGGGTTCATTTCTTGAGCATAGCATTCGCTGCTATACCAGGCCGTTGTAAACTGTCAGATCGTGTGAAATTGACTTTAGCATAAAAATTTAATGGAAGACATGTTTGATGTACCTAAGTGTGTGTACACATGTGCGTGTGCGTGTGTGTGCGGCTGTGTGCATGTGTGTATACATCTTCAGTTGACTATTTCGACACATCCAAGACCAGACTCACCATCGGAAACATTGTCCATCATCTCTCCTACCCGGATGGGACGAAGTATCCGTTAACGCCAATGGGTCAACGGGACAGGACGGGACAGGGGATAGGTGTGTGTGTGTGTGTGTGTGTGTGTGTGTGTGTGTGTGTGTGTGTGTGTGTGTGTTTCCGCCATGAGTGCCCACGCTGCAACAGGCAATTTCGGCGTCCCCAGGATCTGGGACGGCATCAGCCGTACTGTCATTGATGAACTTCTTCCGTGACGTCGTCTTCCACATCTTGGGAGCGGCGTGGCCAGCAATTGCAGCTGTATATAGTAGTAATAGTAGTGGTAGTGTTAATGTGTGTGTGTGTGTTTGTGCATGTATGGGTGGGGTTGTCAAACGTGTGTGTGCCGCTGCTGCTGCTATTGTTGTTGATGTTGTCGATTTAGTTGTTGCTGTTTTCGATGTCTGACTAGGTGTAAACATCAATACAGCTGGCCATTACATATGCCTGGCAGATGATTCGCTAGTGATCCTTTGTGCTGGCAGTTGACACTCTAATTCACATTTCTTTTGTATTGTCTTGTCTTTACTTTATTGTCGCAAGAAGACGGAAAGCCTGAACATGCTTGCTCTTACAAACGCTTCCGGATTGATGGTCCTGATGGGGATTCAGTGAATTTTCTTACTTCTGTGAAGAAGTTAATTACGATCGGCTTGACATACTGCTAAAATTGCTGGCTAAATACCACGAGAACACTGCAATTCAGTTCCAAACAAAAGAAAAAAAGTCGCCCGATGTGGGGTTTGAACCGGCAACGTCTTGAATTTTTGAATTTTTCAGGGTCTTGAGTGCTTGAAGAAGGTGCTTCAATGGCCGGAGATTTGTGAAATTCCAGTGCAGAAAATCTCTCGGTATGTCTGTTTCTGCACAGCTCTAGCATGGCCAACTAAAAGATTCAGCTTCCTACAAGTATAGTCAACGCACTGTAGAAATTGCAGGTTGTCAGCAGAAAAAGGAAGCACGCCTGTTGATACGAGCGATTTCTCAAATTTGGCTGCCTCTGCAGTCAAATCGGGACCCCAGGAGGTCATCGGTGCAGACAAAGCGCGCGAGGATCAGCCACAACACGAGAGCCTGAGCTGGGCGCTTCTCCAGCTGGTCAGGTCGACTCGAGACCCCTGGAGGAGGGCACGGGTACACATGGCAGTCAAGACTCAGCTTCTGCCGTAACTGTCGAAATGCGACCTGAGCATGATAAACAAAGCAACCACGTGGAACTTGACCTGACTCTGTCTCCTGACAGCAGCTGGGCCGAGGAGTCGGACTGTCCACCTGAGGTGAAAATCTCAGGGGGCGATGAGGCTAGAGCATTGGCGATATTGGCAGACTGCTTCCACAAGAGGCCGCGGGAGTCGACCTCCCCATTGGTAGTTTCTAGTGATAACCAGAGGAAGAAGAAGGCGAAAAAGATCACTGCGTCAAGCAATAAGCAGATAACTTGGTGCAGATAACATCTTCTCCCCCTGTGTAGCCCTAGGTATACAAACACAATCTGGTTTTCCCTGTCCTACCTCAACCTCGTGTCTTCCTCCAGCTTCCTCATTCTTATCTTTAGGTTGCCATGATCCTTTTAGGTATTTCATTAGATTTTAGGACCCTTAGCCATACATGTAACTATGCACCCGCTTACGCCAAATGTCCCTCCCCTTTTTTAATTACTTCCTCCTGCAATGAAGGGTAGCACGCATCTTCGCATTCTCTGCACAAACGCTTTTGGCCTAGCCAGCAAACTTCCCGACCTACAGCACGCACTCCTGCAGCATCAGCCCGACGTAGCAATTGTGACAGAAACGAAGTTCACTGCGGAGAAAGTGCTTCCCACTGACATTAGCTTCCCTGGATACAGCTCACCACTTCGGTTGGACAGAACGGCACATGGGGGAGGGGTAGCCATCTGGGTGAAGTCGTCACTCCCCTCCATGCTCATCCCTGAACTCATGTCCCCCGCACATGAGATCATCTGGGTTTCTCTCCAGCTGGCCCCAGGTCTCCACACCGTCTTGGGAGCAGTGTATCGGCTGGGGTCCTGTGCCCCTGGTGATCTTACCTTAATCGATCATCTCGACAACATCCTCCCAGAAGCTAGACACCAGGGCTCCCACATCATCCTAGCTGGCGATTTCAACGTGCACAACCGGGCTTGGCTGAACAGCTCGAAAACTACGCCTGCAGGCGAGGCTCTCGAAGATACCTGCTCTGCCCATCTTCTTGTCCAGCATGTCACAGTACCGACTCGTGGAGACAACCCGCTAGATCTCATAATGTCAACGTTCACGTCCCCAGTAACTACACGTATACTTCCGCCCCTCGGTCGATCTGACCATGCAGTTGTACTGTCAGACTTTTCTTCCGTGCTCCTTAGACGTGAACAGTATTTCGCTACAACAGGGCAGACTGGGATCGCCTCAGGGCGCACCTTCGCAACGTGGAATGGGGTGATATCATCACGGAGGAGCCAGAAACTTCCTGTGAGCAGGTTACCGCTTCGATTACTGCAGCTGTTGCACAGTTTGTCCCATCCAAAGTCCTGGAAACGAGGCCTTCCGATCCTGTATGGTGGACGCCTAAATGCACCCAGACCAAGAGGGAGAAGGAGAAGCGCTGGCGCGACTGGAGAAAACACCCTTATGACCCAGCACTTCAGCAGGCATTCACCGATTCCGTGACTGTAGCGATCGCCACCCAGTCACGATCACGACGTGCAAAGGAGGACAGCCTCCGTCACAGCCTCTCACCTGGGTCCCTCAGAGACAAACAGTGGTGGACGAAGTTGAAGAACGCTGCTGGCAACCGCACACAGCCCGAAATTCCCCTAGTTGTCGACTCTGACGGCCGCGAGTGGGCAACGAGCTCAGAGAAAGCAGAGGCATTCGCTCGCTTCTTCTCGAAGAAATGTAGCGTTGCCGGTCCGGACCTTGTGGAGGCTGACCTACCGGACCCTGCTCCCTCAGAGGCTCCACCTCTTCGCACCATCCGCTTCCGCCCACAGGCTGACCGCCGCCTCCTGGCAAGGCTCGACGTCTCCAAGGCTACCGGGCCTGACGTTATTTCTGCTCGCGTCCTTTTAAGGACGCGAGCAGAAATAAGGAATGTGCTCATGAGCTCGCAGAGCCACTGTCCAAGTTATTTGCTTTATGCTTCCGGTCTGGAGTGCAACCTAGGATGTGGAAGACGGCCAACGTGGTTCCGATCCACAAGCGATCTTCCCGCTCAACTCTTAAGAACTACAGGCCCGTATCCTTACTGTGCATAATCTCGAAAGTAATGGAAACTCTTGTAAACAGACACATCGTAAACTATTTTGAAGACCATCATCTGCTCACGTCGCACCAGTTTGGATTTCGCAGAGGCCTCGGAACATCGGACGCTTTGCAAGCTCTCCAAACTGCCTGGGCAAGCGCTGTGGGCTGTGGAGGGGCGGCTCGTATCCTTGCTGTGGACATCGCAGGAGCGTTTGATCGTGTCTCGCATGTCGGCCTCCTCCACAAGGTGCGTAGCCTAGGCATAGATGGTCCGCTTCAGAGATGGCTGGCCTCGTACTTGGACACCCGTTCCCTACAGTGCCTCGTTGGAGTGCGGACGTCATCTAGGTATACGACCTCCGCTGGAGTCCCCTAGGGAAGCATCCTTGGACCAACGCTTTTCCTGGCCTACGTCAACGACGCGCCAGATGTTCTCGCTGACGGCGCCAGCTTGGAAGCCTATGCTGATGATACAACTTTGTACAGCTAAGTCACCTCCCAGCAGACCCCAACAGTCGCCGCGCAGTCACTGCAGGTGTCCATTGACCGACTGCACGAATGGGGTCGTACATGGAAAATGATGTTTGAACCGACCAAATCCCAGGCAATGACAGCCACCCTCAGACGCACCGGCTTAGATCTCCCCCCACTCCTGTTTGGTGGCACACTGGTGCCCGAGAAAACCACCATCACCCTCCTTGGTGTGAAGGTGGACGCCAAGTTGACCTTCAGCGATCACCTACGCTCCGTAGCCACCCGTGCACGCCAACGGCTTGGGGTCCTAAACAGAGCCGCCCACAAACTCACCCCCTCATGGGTCTCTGCCTGCCACCCGCCCGCAGCAATTCTGGAAAGGGGACATTCGCCTTCCAGAGTGCGATATGCTGGAACAACCTGCCAAGCAGTATTCGCTCCATCTCTGTTCCTCATCAGTTCAGTGCTGCCGCAGTCTCGTTTCTTCTATGAACTGAGAACATTGCAAAGCAATTGTATGTGTGGCTGTCAATGTACATGTGTGTGTGTGTGTTTGTGTGTGTGTGTGTGTGCGTGCACGCGCATGTGAGTGTGTGTGTGTGTGTGTGTGGGGGGGGGGGGGGTTGTGTCTGGGTATGTGTGTATTGGTGCGTAGGTGTGGGTATGTACATGTACATGTATGTGTATGTGTATGTATGTGGATGTGTGGATGTGTGGATGTGTGGGCGTTCATGTAGATGTGCAATGCTTCGATTTCTCTCTCTTCTCTTCTCTTCTCTCTTCCTTTCGGGGTCTCCCGCTTCTGGGCCGGCATGGCCCATGCTTCATGCGTGCTTGTCCCTGGTGTTGTTTTGTCTACTGTGTCCTGCCGCTAATTCGGCTTTGGCCGTGACCACGATGTGTCTCCCCATTTTCTCCTTCATCCTTTCCTTTGTCTTTTTGCTAAAAGCTTTCTTCTCGCCGTGACCACGATTTTCTTCTTCTTCTTCTCCATTATTCTTTTTCTTTCCTTCCTTTCTCTTCTTCCTTTGCTGAGAGCCGTCTGTTCCCATATTTTCTTTTCATCTCTGTCCCCATTCCTGGGTTATTTGGACTTCATTCGCTTCCCTGTCATTGGACATGTTCAGTCCGTTCGGTTTGCGAATTTAAATAAACACAACCAACCAACCACAAAAACACCCCCGCCGGCCGGACGACCGTATACAAGGCGTTCGTACGACCAGTCATGGAGTATGCGCCTCTTGTATGGATGGGAGCTGCGCAGAGTCACCTCCAGCGTCTGAACAATGTTCAGCGCCGCGCGCTTCATGCTATCGGTCCTGGGGCACACCTACCGAGCCTGGCCATCCCCCGCACTGTTGCCTTGCTTGCCTGCCTGTACAAGCTGCACCACTTGCCTGGTCCTCCGCAGCTGCTCTCTGTGTTGCCACCGCGCCACATCATCTCTACCGACCCCAGAACTCGCAACGAGCACGGTGCTGTCAGTGGCCATGACCACCAGCTCCAACACCAGCTGCCCGCATCTGCCCCGCTGGCACTGAAGCGCTCGTTCACACACTGCAGCATCAGCGATTGGAACTCCCTCCCTGTCGCTCTCCTATCCCAGCCTCCCCACAGCAAGAGAATGCAATCATTTAAAACGAATGTTTACCGCCATCTTCGCAGAACAAACTGGCTCTGGGCAGTCGATTCCCTATGAATAGTATGACGCTAAGACAGTTTCTCCCCCACAATCGCTCGTGTTAAGCTTTGGGTTTTTGCATCTTTCTTACCTGTACAGCTCTATCTTCTTCTTTTTTCATTGTTTTTGGTGCGTGTTTTTGGCCGTGACGCCGAGACCTCAGGTCGGCAGAGTCATCAATGCCCCACCATCACTGCTGCGTCTCGGTGCAGCGCCTGCTTACTAGTTGTCACGTTTGTCCTAGTCTCCGTACCACTATCTTTCCTTATTCTTTTCGAGCTGGTTATGTGAACGTAGTAAAAAAAAAAAAAAAAGACAGCGCATTTCACACCTTGCAGTTGACAGCGCACTGGCAAGTACAGTTTCGCACCTGACCCAGTGACTGAACGTGGGTCGCGGTCGCTTACAGCAGATTTGAATGCAGCCACCGAAATCGCATGAAATCGCGGTCGCTGGTCGCGCACAGCAGATGGTTGGTCTGGACAGATCAATTTGTATGTGAACCGTCGGTGCACGGAATATCGGTCGCTAACGGTAGATGGTCGCCTACAGCAGAGGTCGCTAACGGCAGATTTGACTTTACTAGGGAACTGTAAGTCGTTTTACAGGGTAGATCTACCCTAGGTAATTATGATCAGTCACCACCATGCTACACAAAGGTCGTTGACGCCCTTGCGCCCCTTTCACACTTCTCTCACACTTCTCTCACGTTCCTCTCTCACTTTGTGTGATTATCATCATATACCCAGTGTGCACCTCTTGTTGTCCTCGCCATTCATTTCATAGTGCTAATGTGTGACGCCTCGTGCTCTCCTCTCCTCACTTCTGTAGTGCCAGTGTCTCATTGTCTCAACCCCGCTATTATAGTTTGCTACAGAGCCAGTTTCATTTCATTATTATTTTACTTCCTGATGAAGTCCCAAGGGCGAAAATTTCGAGATTTCATTTCTTTTGAATAACATTTGCAGCTTCAACGACATTTGTGTATTGGTGGTGACTGATCATAATATGAATTGGCTGCAGTGGAGCCTCCGTGTTCTAAGAAACGTACCCTAGGTGCGTGCAATAGAGCTGAATGAAGAAAACCGTAAGTGCAAAAAAAAACTATAATAATTATGTGTGTGTCTTTCCCTCAAACCAGTTAATAATTATGTGTGTATGCGTATGCGTGCGGGAGTGTGTCGGTGTGTACGCACAATATTTTGAAAACAATTTGTTCCTCACTACTTTTTCTCTCTCGAAGAACATGATTTTTGATCCAGCACAAACGAAAGGGGACCGTATCCGTTTTTGGGCAATTTGAGTTAGCAACGGATTCTTGTAGCCAGAGAACGTATGAATCAGATTAAAAAACCCGAACGAAAATCCATCAACATAATCATCAAGGAACATGGTGACAAGTGGTTTCCAGTTAATGCTTACCGCATACAACAGATCTTTTATAGTAAAGAAAAGGACGAAGGAACTACAAGTTGCATGTTTACTATAAAATGCATGATTATTATTATTATTATTATTATTCTATTCCACGATGGCGTGACACCAATAAGGACTATTGATAAGTGTGGTAGAACTGATACTAGCCAGAAACAGCTAGATGGAAAATAACCGGGGAGGCAAGAAGCAATGGATCATGGAAAAGAAAGCGGGGGCAATAACGTTAGCAGGGGTGATCGAGACAGTTAAGCATGGCATGGATATTGCTAAGCATTGATTAGTACTAAGCATGGTATGATTATTACTATTCAAAATGCGTAAAGAAGAAGTCGTATGGACTGTTCAACAAACAGGGAAACTCAAAAGTTATTCTATGTTTATGGCAAATCACTGCACTGCAAAACCAAGCAAAAGCAGAAATCGCAGTACATAAAAAGAGAGGCAGTAGATCAGTGGCAGCTGTATTGCTGGTCAGTTACTCTTAACAAACAAATGTCTCCCTGGGTGAACCTGGGGACAATTTCCCAGTTAGTCCTCTATCCCAGCATATGTGTAAAGGGTAGGACCACAGTGAGGAGCACAATCAAGGCGGCTTGTATTCCCAAACAGGGCAAATGCATCTTTGCTCCGCTCTTACCGGCCTTGCGAGAATCAGTGCCTGGGGAAATGACACAGGCAAAAGGAAAAGCATGCGTACAATGTTTACAGTTTTTTTAAAGCAAAAATGTCGTGTGTGCGTTTTAAATGCACCTCAGATCATAGTCAGATGTCTCTCCAGCAATCAGGCATATTTATGACAATTCTCATCAAAACCTGAGAATTTAACCTCGAAATTGGCTCAGGTAACCACCACATGTATAATATTGGGCATTCAGGGATTTCCCTTGTTCGTTGACAGTCCAGGAACGCATAATAATAATAATAATAATAAGGCAATAACTCAGATGAAATAATAATTACACTCTAATAAGTTACATTGGTTTGCGAATGCCCATGGTTCGAACTATTAGTTGAAGCACCTATCTGCAGAAAATAATTATGATCGTAATATTAATCACTTGCCAATAACAAAGACAACGATAGTACCATCAGCCCCCATTCACCGGTTTTGACGGTGCTTCACTGATGTTGAATGAGAAGAATTATATTGCTGCCTTCAGTGCTATTGTGTCACTGAAGGGCTCGATTTCAGATTTGATGACGGTTACTTTTCAACGGATTTTGTTTTCTGATTTAGCTCTCTTGCTATTACTGTACCTGCTTGTGTTAAGTCTCATTCTCGCAGATTAGTTGTATAATAGATTGTACATGCATCATTGTAGATTTGCTGTTCACAGTATTTCTCTCTTCTTTCTTTCTTTTTTCTCAGTCTCCCTTATTATATTTTCTTCACATACAACAGCAGTACTCCCCATGGTCTTAAATGACCCGGGATGCTGCATAATACAAACACAAAACCAATAAAGCCACCCCCATTATAATAATAAGGCACTTGTCATAAGTATCCAAACGTTTTCGGTCCCTTCTCATCAAGGATTATACAGGGAGTGGCTCAAGTTGGAAAGACTAAAACTTATATAGCGTAAAGATAATTAGATAACGACACGCGTGACAAGGTGGAAAATTATCAAGTTTAGCGCGACACAAAACTCGAAGGAAAATAATAATAGTGACAACAACATAGTGAGCAAATTAAGTTACATTATTACCACCTCGACGAGGAGTAACACCAAACAATTGTAGCGACAACACATTTTCACACCATAAAAGTTGGTGAAAGACCCACACGTAAACCACCGAAACTGACAAAGGATCTGTCGGCGTCGGAAAGGGTGACGAGAAGCCAAGTGAAAATACGGACTGGTGAGGACGAACGTACAATGACAACGGAAGTGACAACAACAGTCAATATTCGAAAACGTGGTAGACCGCGAAAACTAACCTCAATATCGGACACCGGACAAGTTGGAGTACGAAGCTCAATAGAAATCCGCAATGGAGGAGACGTAGCGGAAAGGACACTGGGCATCGCGCACCCAACGGTTAGTGTCAAGAAACGTGGAAGGCCGCGGAAACGCGAAGAGACAGATAGTGGTGATGCCACGAAGAGGCGAGATGACGGGACATTGGAGGAGACAACACGCAATGGAGGTAGGAATCGCACTTCGTCAATCAAGCAACATCTGTCAGCCCGTACCAATTGTCGTGAGTTGTACAGTGATAATGTTTTCTCAATATTGTCACGTGGTAGATGTGCGTTGCATTTGGCTGTGTTAGAAGCTTTGTATATCCGTAAGTTAGATCCTGAACTTTGCGTTCAGAAAGAAAATGTGTTGTCGCTACAATTGTTTGGTGTTACTCCTCGTCGAGGTGGTAACAATGTAACTTAAGTTGCTCACTATGTTGTTGTCACTATTATTATTTTCCTTCGAGTTTTGTGTCGTGCTAAACTTGATAATTTCCAACCTTGTCACGAGTGTTGTTATCTAATTATCTTTACGCTATATAAGTTTTAGTCTTTCCAGCTTGAGCCATTCCCTGTATAATCCTTGATGAGAAGGGACCGAAAACGTTCGCATACTTATGACAAGTGCCTTATTATGACTGGATGTGCGTTTGCGTGGATATTTGCGACCCATAACTTACCTTCGTTTTAAAGTATTATCCGCCTCCGACCTCTTTAAAAAAATAATAATAATAATAATAATAATACGAGTAGGACATGCAGTGACATGCAATGACATGCAGTGACGCGGATCTTTATCTGTCCAGTGCAAACCATCAGCGCTTTACGGTGAATGCTAGGAAACACAACGTAATACAAGATATATACTTTTCGTAGCTAGTGTCCTCTGGGGCTAGGGTGACAAACTATCTAAATGTCTGTGGCGCCTCATTTGCACTATGGCTGGCAGCTCGGCTTGCTTAGAGCTCATCACTGTACTAATGAGGCATTTATGGCCGAAACAGCTTACTGTCCACAGCATTGGGTATAATGCTCCTCGACATTCTCCTTAACATTCGTCTTGATGAGCACTCTCGGTAGGCTAGGGCGACGAGCCAACTTAATTTAATTTCTGTGGTGCAGCCTTTGCAGCATGGCTGGTAGCTCGGCTTGCTTAAAGCTCATAGCAGTAACAGTGAGGCATTTATGGCCGAAACAGCTTGCTGTCTACAGCATTGGGTATCAAACTCCTCGACATTCGTCTTGCTGAGCACTCTGGGTTGGCTACTCTAGTGGTGCTGCATTACGCAATGCCTGCTACTGTTCGTAGTTAGAGCACCCTGTCGCTAGAGCGACGAGCTATCTTAATGTCTTTGGTGCCTGATTAGCACCATGGCTGGTGGCTCGGCTTGCTGAAAGCTCGTAGCTGTACTGATGAGGTTGTATATTTTCGAAACAGCTTGTTGTCTACAGCATGGAGGATACGAATGTTATGTAATCACACAACCTACTGGAGCTTCTGTTATCTCCAGATCACCGTAGAGATGTTCGGCTACACCTTTTTTGGCCCAAACTCAACGTGTAGACCTGTCACCTGGGTTCGAGGGCGAAAAGTATGTGGTGTGGACCTCACGACTTGACGTGAATTTGGCGATCGCGCTCCATGAAGAATATTTCAGGAACCTCCGGTCTGCGCAGCACTCGAGTGTCGGAATAAGGAGCACCATGATAATTATCACTGGAGACAAAAATCTGTCGATGTCGCCATTTTGATTGTCCCAGAGGTGCGGCTGGGCTTGCCACAACGCGAAGCTGAATCAAACTCGGCGCCCGCATAGTTCTGGAACGTGTGAGCACTGCTTTCGTCATGTAAGCGTATTTGTAGCCGAACCTCTCATATATGGAGAGCCTGCAAGGTTTGTAGCCACACCATATCACGGGACATGGCCAAATGTCCGGTTTCGATCAAAAGTCGGATCATTTATTATTCCTGGGTAGACCACATTCACTCAACGTTTGACCCAAAGAGTTCCTACGCTATTATACAAAGTCAAAAATCGACTAAATATTTGCACTGAATCAAGGTAAAAGAATGAAGGTTCACTGCTGCTAACAACAACACACCGCAGCCAAACCAATTTATGTTTACACACAGTTGCAAGTTTTCTAGCAATGCTTAAGAATCTGACTGTCGACTTGCGACTTGCTGAGCCCCTCGAGAGAATCGATCAACTCAGCTTGTTCAATGGCGGCTACCACGGAGGTCACTTTAAAGGACTAGAAGTTTAGAGGTAAGGTTCTGGAATTTAGGGTAGACCACCACCACCACCGTGGTCTGCTACAAGCTACTTGAACAAGACCGCCAAACAAGTGTTTGAACAAAATTTGAGAAGATGATCGCCACATCATGAATGAAGCACAAAGTGAACGCGCTCGAAAAGATCATTTCTTTTCATTTGATTTCTCAATTTTTTTTACGAAACCCTGAAGACATGTTTTAGCTGATCGCGGCCCAAATATCAAAACCTGGAAGCCAAGTGCAATAACAGCCACGAAAGTAAGAAAGAATGGCAAAGAGAACAATAGGGATTCTAACGTGTTTTCGTTCAACATCAGGAATCTTCGTTCTACTAGTGAACAAATCTACACAAATGAAATCTTATAGGAAATCAAAGCAAGATAAGTAACAGTTAACGACAGCAATGAAAAGGAGAAGGACAAATTTTACAAGTTATCACAAGCTACCACTAACTGTCTACCCTCGTAGCCAGATCCTATACAGTCAGCGAGTGCGACAAAATGGCACAAAACTGACACGGAGTCAGTCTCACTCTCTCAGTACTCCTTATCAGTGTGGAATATTGTCGCATTCACTGACTGTATCAATTTGATCTGGTAACGTTGGTGGACAGTTGATCATAACTCGTAACATTTTGTTCCTTCAACTTGTCACCATAATTAAATTGGCTCACCATCCGAGTTCAACAGTAAAAAGAATGCAATTGTAGTGCTATTCTAACGTCTATCGTCTCTGTAGTACTAATCTAACGTCTATCGTCTCTGTAGTACTAATCTAACGTCTATCGTCTCTGTAGTACTAATCTAACGTCTATCGTCTCTGTAGTACTAAAATAACGTCTATCGTCTCTGCAGTACTAATCTCACGTCTATCGTCTCTGTAGTACTTATCTAACGTCTATCGTCTCGGTAGTACTAATCTAACGTCTATCGTCTCTGTAGTACTAATCTAACGTCTATCGTCTCTGTAGTGATATTCTAACGTCTATCGTCTCCGTAGTACTAATCTAACGTCTATCGTCTCTGTAGTACTAATCTAACGTCTATCGTCTCTGTAGTACTAATCTTACAGCTATCGTCTCTGTAGTACTAATCTAACGTCTATCGTCTCTGTAGTGCTAATCTAACGGCTATCTTTTCTGGGAAGCCTATTCACTAATCATAGGTTAGTGCATGGGGAACGGAAGACGGATTGTCGCCTAGTTCAGCGCTAATGTGGCTTGTTAGTGCCCTCGACGCTAGTCAGTGAGCCGATGTTGCGAGAGTCTACCTGGAGGGCCCTAACTAGCCATTGCACCCATCCTGTGATGCATCCATTTGTTTTTAAATAAGGTCAATCCCGATACCTGACCAATCAGCGATCTGAAATCACTCACAAAGATAATTGTTTTTTGTACTCTCCTTCATGCACCTTGTTCTTTTAGTCTATTTTTCCAATGTCCAAGGAACGAAGGAGGAGAATCTCTAGATTAAATGTTTCACAGTGGGCGAGTGAGGTCGACCAAGGGATGATTCGAGCGAAATCTGAAATTTGTCCATGTCCAATGCTAGTTGGTCGTTGTGGACATTGGCTCTGCATTTGGTGACAAACCCCGTGACGAGCACTAGACAATGTAGAGTAAAAGTGCTGTGTGCAGGTTGGGACCGAGCACTGCGGCCCCTGTTACTAGGAATAACCCGTGTAAGATATAGCTCAGAACAGGGTAATTACAATTACCGCCACGGTACATAACCAGCGAATAGCACATTATGTTTTACCGTCTGATGAGTGTTTTTAAACACGAAACTCGGAGTAACGAGATATCTTTTGGTTGGTTGTTTGGCCTTATACCACGCAGAATGTGCATACATGTACTTACTGCGCTGAAGTGCTATTTTATGTCAAAATATTATTTATGCATGCAAATGTAACTACCGGTGCAGTGCCTTGTGACGAGATAAGACCACCTAAATGGTTTTCAAGCGAAGAAAATCACTTTCACTACATCCATGTTTCCCTCACTCCGGCGTGCAACACACGTGCGCGCGGTGGACTGTGAGTCGCAACGCTGTTGGAGAAGTGCTCTCTGCGTTTAAGCTGGACATTAAACCCATATGATACAAAGTGTAAAACCACTCATAAGAAATCCTCCTGCAATGAAAAAGAAATTTGCGTGTTTTGTAAATATTGTTGAAAACAATTTTTCACAGGAGTCACAGAGTACTGCACTTCTGGCTTGAGGTCTGGTGGGTATGACACGCTTTCCACGCATGTAGTTGGGATTCCCGCTTAAGAACACCCTGATGCCAACGGCCAAGCAACACCGGAAACGACTTATCGAGAAGGTGGAACTCGTTTCACACCCACCAGACCTCAAGCAAACGGATTCCCTTGTAATCTACTGTTTAAATACATGTACCATACTGGCCATTCACTACTGTTATCAATTATCTCAGGATTGCCATCTGGCATGAAACTTTTAGGTACTAGGCAGTACACCAAATTAGATTCGTGGGACTCGTGTAATACAGCTCTGCACCTGCATCTAGCACTCTACCGCACCAGAGGACTTTGCTCTGTGAACACATTTTTTCTGTTGCGATTGCTTCTTCTAAACGTACTCACCCATGACTGTGCAAGATGTACCATCACCTGTGTACCCAGATCTACACGTGCATTGATATGATCCAATTGAGTTGTTGCATGTGGCATTAGAACTGCAGATATGAGTTTGATCAATGCACTCATCTTGGTCTGGTGCGTAATGGAACACAAAGCACACACAATAGAGATGACACAAAGCACACACAATAGAGATGCAAGAGTGTGGACACAAAAGAGATAGCCAGTGCAGTCTAAATTTTATTTTTCAAGGAAACCCTTCGAAAATAAAACCAATCGATTCAGCATGGCATTTCCATTCCTCCTGCGAAGTTTCAGCTGATTTGGAGTCATGACAAGGACGCTATGGCGATTTGAAGATCGAAAAACTTCAGTTTTGTTTGTCAAGAAGAAAGGCCATGATCGCACACAAATCATACAACCCGTGTGGCACAATGATTTTTGACCGAAGTTGATCCGCAGACCGCGTGCTTTGCACATGCACGCATGCATACTGGCATGATACTGCACAGTGCAGAGGCTTTTTTGAACGCAGATATGTAGTTCTTCGTCTTCTTCGAAATGTCTTCCAAATGCGTGGTGCTGGTTTTCTTCTCAGCTTCGGCAAGGCAGAATGCAGCTGCATGTGATGCTCCTGGGTGTTCATGCATGTTCTCTTTTCGCGTCTCGACATTGCAGCGTCCAGACTCAGCTCGGCTGGAGAAGATTGAGGAGACTATGCTTTGATCCACATGGAAAATCGATGAAATTTGGTAATTATCGTCGGGCGCTAAAAAGCGCTGGGGAGCATGGGGCTAAAAATTCGTAGCAGTCATCCCTACCATGACAGGCATCAACTGGTATATGTTCCATTCTGTTCCCAACCACTACGGGTCGTCTGCGAAGCTTTCTTCTTCGCCGATTCTCGGACAGATCATACGTCTTCGCACCGTATCTCTCGTCTCCCTCAACGGATCAAAACACGGTTTTCGCCAGGACGAACACAAACCCCCAGATTTCGCGGCGGCAACCTCTCATGCATGTACCATGCACGGGAAAGGAACATGGATGAGTCGTTTTATTACGACAGCCTGCACTGGCTAATAGAGATGCAAGAGTGTGGAGTCAACATACATATAGTGGATAATACATGTTTTAATATAGAGGTTCTGCAAAGCGAAATTTCGAACGAAGTTTCGCGTCAGGCCTCTCGAGAATCTGTAGGTAATTTGTACTAATTTCCCATGAACTTCTGTTCTGCACGTTTTCGTAGTTTTCAAGTGCAAAGTGCACGTACGCCATGACTCAATCTCATGATACATTCTTCATTTCGCGTTCCCTGCAAGTTTCGCGTCCAAAAAATGCGAAAGTTCTTGCAAAGTTTCTCGCTTCATGACGTAGAGCGAAGGTTTGTGCCCATGTTCGTTTTGCAAAACCTCTCATTTTTTTTCTCGATGGCCGATAGCCACTAATTTAAAAGACAATTACGATTGCACAATTCTAGTTCCTCTGTCATGCCACACGCCGAAAAAGTCTCAAAAGAGGTTTACCCAAAATATCTTTTCTTGTGGCTGTATCCACTAGATTTTCGTGACTGAAGAATATCATTGTACAGCATTGTAATAAATGATTATTAAAGTGACACAGTTATACAAAAAATGCGAAAAATAGCGAAAAAATAGCGGGAACAAAGCGGTGAGAACAATCTTAGTGTAATAGAGTAATCTTAGAGTAATAATATTATCATTTTGGACACACAGGTTGGGCTTATGTATGCGCTGAAAAATTAAAAATATCTTCTAACACTTTTAACTGCAACAGATAGAGATGAAACTGCCACACAACGGAGAAGTCTGAAGATTTTCGTGACTGGAGAATAATATTGTACAGCATTGAAATAAATGATTATTGGATTGACACGATTACACAAAAAGGGCATAAAAAAAGCATGTCACTGTAGATGGGAGTGGAATCTGTGAAGAAGTCGAATCTCTGAAGAAGTCTCCATCGTCCCAAATATCTGTGAGTCTACTGCTGATCGATGCAGCTAGGTTCTGGATGATTGTAGGTGGATGATTCGATTAGCAGTGGATGTACATCGGCTTGTCGTTCAGTGTCCGGTAAGGGCAGTACTTTCAGGTGGTCACGTCCAACGTCACGTCCAGAAAGTCGACTCCCTTCGGGTTTGTCTGTATCGTTATCTTCAGTACGAGGTTCTGGAATATTTTGGTCAACTGCCACCCTCCCTGTTCCAGCCATCAATGTCCCTGCAACGGCTGCACCGCTTCAAGGCAGCTGCATGGAAGCACTTACTACACACTGACTGCCTGTGGGCTACAGACCACCTCTGAAAGCCACTGCTGCACACACCTGTGATGAAATTGCCAGCCACTCTGGTCTAGATTAACCCTGCCGCATCACTCGAGAGTTACCCACATATCTCTCAATCTCCCCTTTTTTTCCACTATTATTATTCCTTTCTTGTTTGTTTTGTCTTATTTTTTCATTTCATTTTTTGTCTTTAGTCACTTTCTTATGTTGGCTCATTATAAACTTATGATTAATTTTGATGCATACATGGCACTGTGACGCCGAGACCCATGGTCGCCAGAGTCCATGTATTTCATCAGCACAGCTATTAACTGGCATTGTGGATAGCACCTACCCAGTCCAATGTACTTTTTGTCTTTCAACATGATTTGTAGGTTTGTGTTCTCTTTAAAAAAATAAAATAAACGAGAGAGCTTGGAAGCTCAGGGCCCTACGCTATGCTTTTTTGCCTTGATGACCCAGACAAAAAAAGCATAGAGATGTTATAAATTCCTTTTTTTTTAAGACATAACCTGGGATTCGAACCCGCTCTATCGCGCGCCCTGCATGTGTAATGGGTAGCCGAGTGGTAGGCGCGGTGTAATCAACAAGAATTACTTTTATTCTACTTTCAGGTACACACCTGAGATATAATCGTTAGTGAAAGAAGAAGCGGCAAAATAAATAACTTTCTCTCCGGTGCTTACCTAGAGGCTGAATCCTTATTCTTCGAGTTAGCTTTCATTGCTATCCAATCTAATCTAATCTAATTAGAACAGAAAAAACGCAGCTGCTTTTATGCAGCAAACGCCGTACGCTTATATGCGAAGATACACTAAAATTAATATACATAAGGTCGCTCCGTATTGCTTCCGTATTACTTCCGTATTGGTCGGGCAGGGATACTACACCCTCCCTTCCTACAGATAATCACGCCCTCGTGATTTTCAAAAAATTAGTGAGGAGTTACGAACAACAGCGTCAACCGGAAGATGGCAAATTATATCGGAAATGATAACGTTTAGAGTAGACAGAAGAAATGAACTGATAACAAATCATAAAGTAGAAGCACACCAGGTTCACACGATCTCTCGGGGTAAAAAGGGGAAAGAACTGTCCTCCAAATAGGACCTGAAAAACTACAGCACTCTTGCTGCACAACGCTGGCACAACCCGCCAGGAACGTCGCAGTTCAAAAACCGAACTGAATACACTATATCTATAAGGGGCGTTGTCACACACATTGTCCCACGTTAGGTGGGTAAGCCGTGGCTCACCATGATCAGACGCCCACCAAACTAAACTGGATTCACACACTCGCATAAAGGAAGACTGAAAAGAACAGGGAGACTGAAGGAAGACAGGAAAGAAAATGCCATACCTGGAATCAGCGTTAGTAACCACGGCGGCGGCTGAAGCTACGGCCGAGGGCAAGCCAGGTTTTATCTTCATCTTGGTTGAGCCGGTCACTCAGAGCGGCTAGCTCGGCGTCAGACAAATGACCTCCCTCCTCGTCTTGAATCATGGTCTTCACATTGTCGAGAGCATCACTTTGCGCGACGTAAAGAGTGATGGTCTAGCCAGGAAGAGTGTTGACGAAATTCTGCATTCCACCACGTAGACGAAGTACCAAGTGAATAGTGGACTCCTGCTGAACGTTGTAGTCACTCAGGGTTCGGCCGTCTGCCAACTGCGTGCCGGCGAAAATCAAACGCCGCTGGTCTTGGGGAATACCCTCCTTGTCTTGGTCAGCAGCCTGCATGTCGTCGTCCTCATCAGCTTCGCCATCACCACCGGTAGTATACATGTAGGTAGCGCGTCGCTTGGAATCGCCATCGGAGTCTCCAGTGAGTGCGGTGCGGAGAGAAGGGTGATCCACGCTAGCACCCTGACTGAGCTGCAGGCTAATAAGTAGGGCCAAGCCCAGGACGGCACGAAACATGATTCTCATCTTGATTCGTCGCAGGGAGCTGCAGCGGGTTGAGCCGTGGGGGTCTGGGGTCGAATCACGTTGTTCTATTTAAAACTACACCGCTGCCAACAATGTAATGGGTAGCCGAGTGGTAGGCGCGGTGTAATCAACAAGAATTACTTTTATTCTACTTTCAGGTACACACCTGAGATATAATCGTTAGTGAAAGAAGAAGCGGCAAAATAAATAACTTTCTCTCCGGTGCTTACCTAGAGGCTGAATCCTTATTCTTCGAGTTAGCTTTCATTGCTATCCAATCTAATCTAATCTAATTAGAACAGAAAAAACGCAGCTGCTTTTATGCAGCAAACGCCGTACGCTTATATGCGAAGATACACTAAAATTAATATACATAAGGTCGCTCCGTATTGCTTCCGTATTACTTCCGTATTACTTCCGTATTGGTCGGGCAGGGATACTACACATGCATCCCCCGATACACTTTGCATACATACTAATTCTTCCAAGTTGTTTCACATTGTGATCTTGCTTTTGAAAACCCTATTTGAATATGCATTGTGGCCAGCCGTCTTTGATGGCACGGTACGGTAGGGGATAGGTACGGGACAGGTACGATCGAGGGTAATACGACAACGTCTCCCGTATCGTACCGTACTATCAAACACAGCTGGCCACATACAGCTGCCCGCAATATTCAAATAGGGCTTTCAAAAGAATGAAGTTGAAGACACCACTGCAGCTGTACTTATGGTTGATAAATATGGTGGTAAAGACACACCTGGCAATATGGCGGTAAACACACGCCTGCCCACACACGCTCTCTACAGTGCGTTTTTTTATAAGAGACCTTTGTCGATTTTGATTTTTTAGTTTGTTCTCATTCCAAATTTGAAATTTTTTCTTCACAGCT